TTAGATGCTCTTGGAGGGTCGAGTCCTGCAGCCTTGTAGGCACGTAGTATGACAGTTCTGATCCAAATGGAGATAGTAGTATGTGAGACTTCAGTCTGCGTAGCTGTTGATAGAGGAATAAATAATCTCTTGAATTTTGCCATCCTCTGTTTGGATCGGTGGAGATATATTTTCAGTGCTCTTACTGGGCATAGTGATAGATCCATCGTATCATGAGGTCCAAGTATAGATGAGAGAGCTGGGACGTGGAATAATCTGTCTGGTTGACCTGGCAATTGGTTCTTGGCGATAAAACCCCAGCGTAGTCCCAGATGCACGATGTTATGAATATCATCAAAGCGTGTTCTCTCGTAATCCAATGCGTGAATCTCTGACATCCTGGCAGCCGTAGCTAGAGATAACAGGAACAAGGTTTCCTGAGTCAGAGATTCAAACGATGTAGATTCTAACGGTTCATAAGCCTCACTAGTGAGGTGTTGGAGCACTATATTCAGATCCCAAGCTGGAGCGTGAAACTTCCGTTTTGATCCTCCAATCGGAATGCTCGTAGCAAGGCGAGTAACTCTGGGGTCTTGGTTAACTTGACGCGAGCTTATTGCTGCAAGATAAGTGGACAAAGTTGAGCCTTTTAGATTCTTAGTCTGACGTAGATAACATAAGTAGTCAGCCACTTGAGGACGAGTAGCATATCTAGCTGTAAATCCTTTCTTTGCAGCATAATTGACAAAACTGTGCCATTTGTCATCGTATAGGTTGCGAGTTGAGTTACGCAGGGCAAGCGTGACTGCTTTTGCCGCTCTGGCTGAATAACCTCTCTTATTCAGACACGCCTTGATACAATCCATACGTGAAGTTGGAATATTTCTGGCTTTCCGTGCTCTTGTTTGGTGTGCGGATGTATTAACAGATTCGAGCACTCTGGAAGTTGTAGTATTGGTTGTCCGATTTCTTGAATAAGAGTTGGAAACCACGTTCTCGCTGGCCAGTAGGGCGCGACCAAAATCAGATGGAGGCTCTGCGTTTGACTGATTTTGAGTAAGACTTGTGGGATTAACGCTGGTGGCGGGAAGCGTACGCGTTGAGTCCTTCCCACGATATGCTTAGTGCGTCCGTTGCCCATGCTAGTAAGTCTGGAACTGGTGATACGAATGTTGTCAGTTGTTTGTTGAATCGAGTGGCAAATAGGTCTATTAGTGGAGTTCCTATTTCCTTGATTATTTGAGTGAATATCTCTGTGTGGAGCATCCATTCTGTCGGCGATGGTAGGTGTGGCCGAGAGAGAGCGTCTGCTAATACATTCTATGCTCCTGGAATGTGACATGCTCTGACATGTATGTTTAGATTGTCGATTAAATCGAACAATCGGAAACAGAGACAATAGGTTCGGTGACCTTGTTGAGCCTTGTTTGTTCACATAAAACGCCCTTGTCGAATTGTCTGTGTGAATCATCAACTGAGCGTTCTGTAATAAGTTGCTCCAGTGACTTATGGCGTTTATAACTGCTTGCATCTCTAGCAGATTTATGTGTAACTTGCTCTCTTGATTGCTCCATAGGCCTGACGCTGTCCTGTTGGCGAGATGAGCTCCCCAACCTTGTAGTGACACGTCTACGTAGAGATGTGATTCCGATTCCGGCTCTATTACGGGGACGCCTATGCAAACATTCGATCTCTTGGTCCACCATAGTAGGTGAGGTTTGACGTGATCTGGTAGCCTGAACGGTAGAGAGTCTTCGAGATGCGAATTGATGAGGACTTGCAACGGGCGTAATTGTAGTCTGCCTCTGACTGTCATGTCTTGAGCTGACATGAGTAATCCCAATAGGCTCTGCCACTGTCGTAGTGGTAGCGGAGAGAGTAAGGCTTGTGGGATTGATTGTTGGATCTTGATCCATTGGTCCTCTGGTACAAATATACGATTCTGCGCCGTTACAAATCAAATACCTAGAAATTGCAGATCTTGCTTAGGTTCTAGGTCCGACTTAAGTAGATTTACTAACCATCCTAGTTGTGTTAGTAGCTTGATGATGAAGTTCAACTGTAGTCTGAGACGCTGTGGATCTGGATCCACTTGTATCCCGACGTCGAGGTAAAACGCGCTGCGAAGTCCTTGACGATGTAGGTGAGCAACCAGGGGTGACTGCCATCGTTGAACTTTATGTAAAAAATCGCCTGACTGCCGTGCCCTCGTCCTTACTTGACAGGGGTGGTCTCTAATCTCATGAAGGCAGCCCAATCATGAAGGTTCAGTTTAACTGGACTGTAATGGAGGCTTTGCTCGTTCACTGATATGTTGTTGTCACTTGCAACCTATGTCTTGAACTGTGAACTATGATCGACCTCTGCGTAGGGCGTTGTCCCTCGCGGTCCAATCAGAACAAGGCATTTTGATTCTGTAGAGTACCCGCGCTGTGATGTCACCGGTGTAGCAGGAAAAGGAACCTTGTATAATATAGTGCCGTCGTTGATATTAGATCAATCTTCGGTTTTGTCCGTAACTTCCCGAAGTTACACGAGTGACCACGTGCTACGAGGGTTAATGGTAAACACGCGAATCTTCCGGCCCGAATTACCTCGCCCTGTATTATTAATGCTGGGTAGGTTGTTTTCCTGGCTGCTGTGAATGTAACTTCAGTCTTGAAGATAATGCCGTCGTCCTTATATATAGGCTCAATAAAACTTGCAAGTTGTCAGCTTGTAGACTGCATACATCAATGCAGCGTCATAATTGTAGAATTAATGCTGAACTTGTAGTAAATATTTCTTCTCAGGAAATCGTTGACGATTATGTGTTTTACTAGCTGTAACAAGGCTGCTGCTCAATTTCGTTATTGAATTGTCTGCAGAACTGCGTAGTGGTCAACTTGGTGTGACTGTATGGCTCCTTGCATGTAAATAATCGTATCGTAGTCCGGGATTGCATACCTAGCAATATATACGGAAATGGTGATTCCTGTGATGATCTGCGAACGTCGTTGATGCCCTTGATGTAGGTAGTCGGCCTGAAGATCCTTAATTAGGCTCTTCATCTGTAAATAGTATTTTTGCGTTGTAAATAGCCTGTGCGAATGCCTTCCTGTAGGCTTGTAGACGGCATGTGGCAAACAGTTGATAGACAAGTACTGCGATGTCTCTGCTTCGCTGGATACTTGTGTGTACATTGGCGAGGGGATCGACGTGGTGAATAGCCCGATGAACTGTGCTTGTAGGGTGACCTGTAGTTTCGTTAAGGTCCTAATGAATCCCTCTACAACTATAGGACGAAGATGTTTTGAACGGACTGACGAGTGGCTTCTATAGGGAGACCTTGGAGACTTCCTTGGCGAACGATGGAGGCTTCGTGAAGCTCTCGATGAATCCCTTATAGATCTTCTGGATGAAGATGACTTGGAGCCACTTAACCTTCGTGAAGGTATCGAGGCAGAGTCCGAATCATTAGATAGGAGCTTGCTTCGCGAACGACCTCTGTGTTCTTCAGGGTCTGAGCTCGGTGAAGCACTCCTCCTCCATGAAACCTTTCGCGAATGGTGAGGATCTGGGTCCTTCGTGGAGGCGGCCTGGGACGTCCTTCGCGAAGGCTTCGATACGGGCTGGGTTGCCCTTCGTGGAGGCGCGTCTGTGGGCTCAGGGGCCCTACGCGAAGTCAAGGCGGGCTCTAGGGCCCTATATGACTGTGAGTGGGTTGGGCTCTGGGGCCCGCGGCTCTGAGGCCTCTGTAAACCGTATCGGTCTTCCATCAGCATCATAATCTGGTTGACCAGGTCGTCTGGGACGGTCTGCGCTGATGTAGACGCTGCCCTCTCTATGGTTGCGACGGGACCCTCAAGTAGATTCTCTGCCGTCAGCGTAGGCATCTGTAGCTGCGTGTTGATCTGCGCTGAGGTGACGGTAGCCGATACTGGTCGCTTTTTATGCCGTACATCTGGAATGATAATCGGTAGATCGTCATCATATAAGCACAATTCTGAAACAGGAAGAATGTCAGATGAATTTTTTTTTGTAGTCTTCTTAGGTATCACTTTCGACGAAGCTGTAGCCCTGGGGGTGCGGAGCGTACGTTGTGACGACGTGGAAGCTCTTCTGGTCTTAGACTGGGACGACGGGATGTCCTGGGATGCAGGTCGCTTCTTGGATATAGCGGACTGCGTCCCACGCTTCTCCCCCCCGAGGGTAACTCAAGCGGTACACCAGACGGTAGAGCGTCGTCCGCCAACAGTTGAGAGGGTATATCTGACTCTGATCTATCAGCCATGACTGAAGTCTGTTTCCGTGATCTATCTGCTGCGCGTCTCAAGACGCAACATAAATATTTATCAAAGGCAGAATTAGACAATTTAATACAAAAATTGCAACGTGAAACAGTAGAGCATGGCGTAGTACAACAAGGGCATATTAAATGCGGGTCAGCAGCAGAAAAACGTAATTTACAAACAGTGCAGATTTTCATTAACGCAATATACTCAGCAAACACGACGGACCGTGAATAAAACAGTAGAAACACGAATAAATATCAATGCATCATGTATAAGGATACTAGTTACACCTCTATAGAAGATTATAAGAGGTAAACAACTAAATATAAATAAAGGATATAATGTGTAGGGAGACACAGGCGCTCTCACGTCCTGCTCACTGGGCGAAGAAGGATTGAGTGAGGCACATGGCAGGAGGTGGCGCCCTCGTTCCCGCGCTTTTGAGGGGACAGATAACTTGTGGTGAGTACTAATTAGTGATTTTACATTGAAGGGAACTTCAATTGGGAGATACAAGTGTTCCACTGTGTTCGCAAGAAGAAGAAAACAAGCAAGTAGCATGAGTCAGGATAAGGAAAAATAATAGTTTTTCTCATGTAAAAATTTTAAGCAAAACTGAAAGCAACAGAGAAAACACACAGCAACAGAGTGTCCAGTCGAAAAATGTTTTCCAAGACCTCAGCAATAACTGAGTGATAACAAATACAATGTTAATTTTCTTTATATCAGTGAAAGAAGTTGACTCACATTCCTCCAATGGTAACAGTACAACAGGTCTTCTCAGGGTAGCCCTGGTTGGGTGGCTGGATGTAATCTATTTCCACATTCACCTGCAAAAAAGAAAAAGGTTATAATACAGGGGTTTGATGCGACACAGAAATATGCATTCCTATAAGCAGATATACCAAAAAGTGTATGTTGCATCCCAAGAAACAACAAGAAGACAAAGTCATCAAAATCCCCCACAATGGCAAAATACTCTTAAGAATATGTCTACTAGTTATGATTATGTCAAATGTTTTGGTGTGTATATGGCAAAGTGGAAGGAGAGTATTGAAAGGTTTTAAAGTTTTGCTCCAGAAAGGAGGACGACCACCAAATTCAGTCGAAGCCAAACTTGTTGCCAAGGAAACACAAAAATATTTTATTCAGAATTCCAAAAATACCACAAGGCACCAGTACACTACCAGGCCTATCTATGTGGAAAGTTTGGTGAAGAAATTGTTATCGGTTTTAAAGTTCTGCTCCAGAAAAGAGCACTACCACCAAATTCAGTCGAAGTCAAACTTGTTGCCATGGAAACAAAAAATATTGTATTTAGAATTCCAAAACTATCAAAAGGCACCAGTTCACCACCACACCTATCTATGTGGAAAGTTTGGTGAAGAAATATTGAACGGTTTTAAAGTTCTGCTCCGGAAAAGATAAATGTGCATGGACGCACATACGGAGTGCATCTTAATAATTATAACATTCTCTGTACGATATTGCTGACAAGAAAGCTAAAGGTCCTGTAACTAAAGCAATTTAAAAACATTCAGGACTGTACATCAAACCATTTGATTACCGGTACTTTGCAGGACACTCATATTTTTTCTTACGTCCCTTGAAAATAATGTTTGTGGACCTGCTGTTTTGTAAGTCAATATAAAAGCGTGATATCTACTTTTACATTTACCTGCCACATGTCTTTCTTTTCCTGACCAGATAAAGTAATAGGTTATAACTGATTTCCACATTCTTGCACAACTACCAGACATCCAAGTTAAGCTCTTGCTAGCATGATGATGTAAGTTGTTTTCTGGTTGTTAAGAATACTTTCAATACAGCGATGTACTCTTGTGGCTAACGAACCTTCTTGCAAATGAGTTTCTTCCTGAGGAACTCCCTGGCCTCAAACATGTATGGGATGTCATAAAGTGGTCTGACTCGGCGGTTGCTGCTGTCCTTGGTTTGGGCTCCATCACCAGCTGGCTCCTGGCTCTGTCTGCAAACATGAGATTAACAACCCTCATTGTGAAACAAACTGGAGTGTGTGCTTATTGCTTACAAAATGTTTTCCATCTATACTGCATGTTGGAAATCTGGACATTTCACTGTACATAAACAGATGAATATTTGTTCTTGATGCTGATCTTGTTTTGATAGAGTTATGCAGTCATACATGTATCTGGATGAGCATCATGCATCATATAATAGGGCTGGCTATTGCTATAGATCATAGAGATCAACAAGCAGTTGTCACTGAGGAGACATATCCTCCTGCCGCAAATTATCAAATCAAACTTAAAAAGTGATGAAAATGAAAGTCGTAGTTTAAGATGAAGTTAAATGTCAACAAAATCATGACCAGTCAACCTCTCTTGATATCTTGCTCTGTAGCTGTTCAAACACACAAATATTTTCAAGATTCACTTTGACCTTGACATGAATGTCATGGTGTATGAAAGAAAAAAAATAGTAATAAAGAAATTGCTTATCAAAAAACATTCAAGAGTCTTGAAAGTCTATGAACCGTTCTTGAGATATCTTGCTGACAATCTTACATGCAGGTTAACATGCTAAAATGTTCAAAGTGTCGGCATGACCTTGAAAACCATGTGAAGGTTACGAAAATCGACTGGGCCCTGCGCCTTCCCTAGATGAAGCTTGGTGTCAAATATGAAGAAAATCCAGTGAATGGTTCTTGAGGTATCTCGCTGACAAGCTTAACACGCAGGTTAACATGCTGACATCTTCAAAGTGTGAAAATTACGTGAAGGTCACCAAAATCGACTGGGTCCTGCACCTTCCCTAGATGGAGCTTGGTGTCAAATATGAAGCAAATCCAGTAAACAGTTCTTGAGATATTTCGCTGACAAGGGTAAAACGTTAAAGTATCCTTGTGACCTTGAAATGAAGGTCAAGGTCACCAAACCTGACTGGGACCTTTCACATACTGTAATGAACCTAGGTACTAAATATGAAAAGAATCTAGTCAACGGTTCTTAAGATATTCCAATTCGTAGCCTAATACTATATCATGTTAAAACATTGTGCAGGTAGAAGACATCTCTAATGAGTACCTTGGAGGTCTAATACTAGACAAGAACACTTTCTTCATTGTTGAGTCACCTATCTTCACCACCAGAGCATCTCCATTGACAACTTCAACCACCTGAAACACAATAAGTTATACTTACAAACAGCAGAAACACAATGAAATGTACATAGAAATTCAAACAGAAGACTGCAGTGAATGACATATGCAGTACTAAATAGACAGTCTCCACTGCAAAGTCTAACCTTGCCATTGAACGTCTTGTCCTTGACATCAATGCTTTGCCCTGATGGTTTGTAGTCCTTCCAGATCCTCAAGCGTTTCTCTTTGGCTATCCTGCATGTAAAGGCAAAACTCATTTCATGCTCCAATGTAGTCCTGCATACAAGATACAGCAGTATTCCGTCTATATGACATGCAAATAATCATGCTGGAAACAGACAATCCAGTTTTTGATGTCCTATGGCAGAATTGAGTGAAAAAACAAAACATGGATCATGTTGATGAAAGTTGGTCAACATGACCTATTACTGATTTCATACAAAACTATATGTTGTAATTCAAACCATGTAACATGAACAAGGCTAAAATATGAACAGGAAAGGTATTTAAGTGAAAAAGGCAAACATTCTTTACAAATGACCTCAGCTTGTATTTGACGTAATACCTATTTACTAATTCAGCTCATCATAGGAGTCAACCGGACCTGCTTGCTGACCTGCTTCGTGCAGGTTATCATACCTCTACTGGGTAGATCAATGCTCAAAGTGCCAATTGCTGGATTTGGCAAACGCCTGATTAATTACAAACCACAGTGATATGGCTGGAGTATTGTTGAATACAGCATCAAACAGCATATATTAACATATATCGAACACTAGGGAATCTTTTTGTCCATAACTGGTGTAAGGTTGCCTCACATATTGTAAACCCCACACACAAGCATAGCAAAGAGATTTGTGATGAAGCTATACTTACTTTTCAGCACCTCGGAGCTTGTCTGCCCCTTGTGACACTACTCCCATGCTCCAGTCAACACAGCGAGCAAAGCCCTCCTTCAGCAGCAACTCAGCAATGTTGCCGTTCTGTGGACATACAAGTGTGCCATATTTAGAGAACAACATTCATGTGTTGCCGTTCTGTGGACATACAAGTGTGCCATATTTAGAGCACAACATTCATGTGTTGTCATTCTGTGGACATACAAGTGTGCCATATTTAGAGCACAACATTCATGTGTTGTCGTTCTGTGGACATACAGAGTTCTGTGGACATACAAGTGTGTTGTCATTCTGTGGACATACAAGTGTGCCATATTTAGAGCACAACATTCATGTGTTGTCATTCTGTGGACATACAAGTGTGCCATATTTAGAGCACAACATTCATGTGTTGTCATTCTGTGGACATACAAGTGTGCCATATTTAGAGCACAACATTCATGTGTTGTCATTCTGTGGACATACAAGTGTGCCATATTTAGAGCACAACATTCATGTGTTGTCATTCTGTGGACATACAAGTGTGCCATATTTAGAGCACAACATTCATGTGTTGTCATTCTGTGGACATACAAGTGTGCCATATTTAGAGCACAACATTCATGTGTTGTCATTCTGTGGACATACAAGTGTGCCATATTTAGAGCACAACATTCATGTGTTGTCATTCTGTGGACATACAAGTGTGCCATATTTAGAGCACAACATTCATGTGTTGTCATTCTGTGGACATACAAGTGTGCCATATTTAGAGCACAACATTCATGTGTTGTCATTCTGTGGACACAAGTGTGCAAGTGTGCCATATTTAGAGCACAACATTCATGTGTTGTCATTCTGTGGACATACAAGTGTGCCATATTTAGAGCACAACATTCATGTGTTGTCATTCTGTGGACATACAAGTGTGCCATATTTAGAGCACAACATTCATGTGTTGTCATTCTGTGGACATACAAGTGTGCCATATTTAGAGCACAACATTCATGTGTTGTCATTCTGTGGACATACAAGTGTGCCATATTTAGAGCACAACATTCATGTGTTGTCATTCTGTGGACATACAAGTGTGCCATATTTAGAGCACAACATTCATGTGTTGTCATTCTGTGGACATACAAGTGTGCCATATTTAGAGCACAACATTCATGTGTTGTCGTTCTGTGGACATACAAGTGTGCCATATTTAGAGCACAACATTCATGTGTTGTCATTCTGTGGACATACAAGTGTGCCATATTTAGAGCACAACATTCATGTGTGTTGTCATTCTGTGGACATACAAGTGTGCCATATTTAGAGCACAACATTCATGTGTTGTCATTCTGTGGACATACAAGTGTGCCATATTTAGAGCACAACATTCATGTGTTGTCATTCTGTGGACATACAAGTGTGCCATATTTAGAGCACAACATTCATGTGTTGTCATTCTGTGGACATACAAGTGTGCCATATTTAGAGCACAACATTCATGTGTTGTCATTCTGTGGACATACAAGTGTGCCATATTTAGAGCACAACATTCATGTGTTGTCATTCTGTGGACATACAAGTGTGCCATATTTAGAGCACAACATTCATGTGTTGTCATTCTGTGGACATACAAGTGTGCCATATTTAGAGCACAACATTCATGTGTTGTCATTCTGTGGACATACAAGTGTGCCATATTTAGAGCACAACATTCATGTGTTGTCATTCTGTGGACATACAAGTGTGCCATATTTAGAGCACAACATTCATGTGTTGTCGCTTCTGTGGACATACAAGTGTGCCATATTTAGAGCACAACATTCATGTGTTGTCGCTCTGTGGACATACAAGTGTGCCATATTTAGAGCACAACATTCATGTGTTGTCATTCTGTGGACATACAAGTGTGCCATATTTAGAGCACAACATTCATGTGTTGTCGCTCTGTGGACATACAAGTGTGCCATATTTAGAGCACAACATTCATGTGTTGTCATTCTGTGGACATACAAGTGTGCCATATTTAGAGCACAACATTCATGTGTTGTCGCTTCTGTGGACATACAAGTGTGCCATATTTAGAGCACAACATTCATGTGTTGTCATTCTGTGGACATACAAGTGTGCCATATTTAGAGCACAACATTCATGTGTTGTCATTCTGTGGACATACAAGTGTGCCATATTTAGAGCACAACATTCATGTGTTGTCGCTTCTGTGGACATACAAGTGTGCCATATTTAGAGCACAACATTCATGTGTTGTCATTCTGTGGACATACAAGTGTGCCATATTTAGAGCACAACATTCATGTGTTGTCGCTCTGTGGACATACAAGTGTGCCATATTTAGAGCACAACATTCATGTGTTGTGTCATTCTGTGGACATACAAGTGTGCTTGTCATATGTGCCATATTTAGAGCACAACATTCATGTGTTGTCATTCTGTGGACATACAAGTGTGCCATATTTAGAGCACAACATTCATGTGTTGTCATTCTGTGGACATACAAGTGTGCCATATTTAGAGCACAACATTCATGTGTTGTCGCTCTGTGGACATACAAGTGTGCCATATTTAGAGAGCACAACATTCATGTGTTGTCGTTCTGTGGACATACAAGTGTGCCATATTTAGAGCACAACATTCATGTGTTGTCATTCTGTGGACATACAAGTGTGCCATATTTAGAGCACAACATTCATGTGTTGTCGCTCTGTGGACATACAAAGTGTGCCATATTTAGAGCACAACATTCATGTGTTGTCGCTTCTGTGGACATACAAACATGTGCCATATTTAGAGCACAACATTCATGTGTTGTCGCTCTGTGGACATACAAGTGTGCCATATTTAGAGCACAACATTCATGTGTTGTCGCTCTGTGGACATACAAGTGTGCCATATTTAGAGCACAACATTCATGTGTTGTCATTCTGTGGACATACAAGTGTGTGCCATATTTAGAGCACAACATTCATGTGTTGTCATTCTGTGGACATACAAGTGTGCCATATTTAGAGCACAACATTCATGTGTTGTCATTCTGTGGACATACAAGTGTGCCATATTTAGAGCACAACATTCATGTGTTGTCGCTTCTGTGGACATACAAGTGTGCCATATTTAGAGCACAACATTCATGTGTTGTCGCTCTGTGGACATACAAGTGTGCCATTTAGAGCACAACATTCATGTGTTGTCATTCTGTGGACATACAAGTGTGCCATATTTAGAGCACAACATTCATGTGTTGTCATTCTGTGGACATACAAGTGTGCCATATTTAGAGCACAACATTCATGTGTTGTCATTCTGTGGACATACAAGTGTGCCATATTTAGAGCACAACATTCATGTGTTGTCATTCTGTGGACATACAAGTGTGCCATATTTAGAGCACAACATTCATGTGTTGTCGCTCTGTGGACATACAAGTGTGCCATGTTGTGCCATATTTAGAGCACAACATTCATGTGTTGTCGCTCTGTGGACATACAAGTGTGCCATATTTAGAGCACAACATTCATGTGTTGTCGCTCTGTGGACATACAAGTGTGCCATATTTAGAGCACAACATTCATGTGTTGTCATTCTGTGGACATACAAGTGCTGTGGACATTTTTAGAGCACAACATTCATGTGTTGTCATTCTGTGGACATACAAGTGTGCCATATTTAGAGCACAACATTCATGTGTTGTCATTCTGTGGACATACAAGTGTGCCATATTTAGAGCACAACATTCATGTGTTGTCATTCTGTGGACATACAAGTGTGCCATATTTAGAGCACAACATTCATGTGTTGTCATTCTGTGGACATACAAGTGTGCCATATTTAGAGCACAACATTCATGTGTTGTCATTCTGTGGACATACAAGTGTGCCATATTTAGAGCACAACATTCATGTGTTGTCGCTCTGTGGACATACAAGTGTGCCATATTTAGAGCACAACATTCATGTGTTGTCGCTCTGTGGACATACAAGGTGTGCCATATTTAGAGCACAACATTCATGTGTTGTCATTCTGTGGACATACAAGTGTGCCATATTTAGAGCACAACATTCATGTGTTGTCATTCTGTGGACATACAAGTGTGCCATATTTAGAGCACAACATTCATGTGTTGTCATTCTGTGGACATACAAGTGTGCCATATTTAGAGCACAACATTCATGTGTTGTCGTTCTGTGGACATACAAGTGCCATGCCATATTTAGAGCACAACATTCATGTGTTGTCATTCTGTGGACATACAAGTGTGCCATATTTAGAGCACAACATTCATGTGTTGTCGTTCTGTGGACATACAAATTCATGTGTGCCATATTTAGAGCACAACATTCATGTGTTGTCGTTCTGTGGACATACAAGTGTGCCATATTTAGAGCACAACATTCATGTGTTGTCGTTCTGTGGACATACAAGTGTGCCATATTTAGAGCACAACATTCATGTGTTGTCGTTCTGTGGACATACAAGTGTGCCATATTTAGAGCACAACATTCATGTGTTGTCGTTCTGTGGACATACAAGTGTGCCATATTTAGAGCACAACATTCATGTGTTGTCATTCTGTGGACATACAAGTGTGCCATATTTAGAGCACAACATTCATGTGTTGTCATTCTGTGGGGTTACAGATGTGTCACACATATCATCCAAGTGTTGATGTTCTGTTGGGGTACAGATGTGTCACACATACACACATCATATCATCCACGTGTTGCCATTCCGCCGAGATACAGACATGTCACACACACACACACATATATATATACATCTGGATCATGAAAATAGGTTGAACCTACTGGATGAATGACAGTGCCAAGCAGGTTCATATTGGACACTCCTTCCAGAATGATATGCACATCTCTCTGCAGCAGACGGCACTCCGTGAAAAACTTGGCCTCCTCTGCATACGGCTTTCTGCCACTTGCTTCCCTTCTTCCTGGCGGAACATGGGGCACTGAAACATTTATCAGGTGCATACACTGAAACATCCTTCAGATTTGAAGAATCAGCAAAATGCACTCAGCATCGGAATTTTCACACTACACAACTATATTATTCATGGAGATTAGTATTATGTTATATTTTACTGTGAACCATGGCTGCATTATTAGAGATTGTGCATTATGCAAATGGATGACCTTCATGCTCATCAACTGAAAATACTGCAGATTTTATGGTACGACACTACAGATCCTACGGTTAGGGTTCACCTTGATGCAAGACAGCAAGACAGATGATGACACTTGAGATTTTATAGCTTGAGCTCACCTTGATGCCAGACAGCATTACAGTGACATAGTGAAAGCTGGGGAGGAGGAAAGCTCTGACAGTGCAACCATCTCGTACATGCTCGATCACAGCTGTAAAAAATATTAAGTTAGATTTAAAATTGCACTGTGATGTGAACAAGTGAATTACTATTAACTAACACACTCTTCACGATACTGCGGTTTCGGATGAACCACGGGGTAAACCGTGGCTCCCATAAAAAAAATCAAAGACACATCTTCAGGTCATTGTGAATGGCATATCACCAAATCACCTGAGTAATTGCGATGTTTGCTGTGATGCAAGACACCGCGTTATAGCATGAGTAAACGCTGCCATCCGAAATCGTATGACAGAAAACAAATGATAAAACAATCTTCACCCCACCCTTCCTAGATTCCATTTAATTGGATTAAATGTTGTCCCATTTTCATTCATTTAAAACTGTTTAAAGTAACATCGGTGAAAATGTGCAAGAAATGGCATGATTATTTCGCCTCATTCCATGCGTGTACAATTTCCGCTTACCATATCTGTGAGGGTTCGCTTTTTTGCTCCTATCGTGAAAGCAGCAATGTTACATTTTCTCAGCAATCACATTTTCACGAACTGATAACCGCCTCGTCATCAATGGACCCCAAGAAACGTGTTATTGACTTATCAATTAACTGCCAGCATTTTGGTTTTACAATCAAAGTGGTATGTACGGCAGTGACTTGTCAAATTGTCCCATATGTAAAATGTATCCAGCTACGTACTGAAAGTGGTAAGCCCTATGTTAATCATTATATTAAAACTTAACTAAACCTGAAGAGGTTTTCAATTCTTCGAAGAGAGTCGTCCTTGGGGTACATATTATGCATTTTCCGGCTGAAAAATGTCCTGTGACAGTTGTATCAATGTTTTTTGAATAAAAAGATTGAACAATAAATAAACTCTTTTATTTATTATACGGCCCCTACCTCACGGAGTTACCTCCCGTTACGCATGCGCACCAACTGGGTAAGCTCCTAGACCCGTATCATCATTCCTTCTGCTGAATATATCAGTGAACAGAATTGCGGGAGGTGGAGGTTTCTACCTCAAGGATCGACTCTCTTCGAAGAATTGAAAACCTCTTCAGGTTTGGTTAATTCTTCTTCAAAGAGATCGCCCTTGGGGTACATATTATGCATAAACACAGACTCCCAAAGACCGGAGGCCAGGGAGGAGGGAATTCTGTCCAAGCACACACAAATATAGCGATCGTATCATGGAAAAAAATTGAACAGACGCCATAACACTCACCTGTCACTTGTCCCAGTTAGCTTCCGCCGAGAGGCAGTATGGGAGGGAACTGACAGGGAGGATTTATGCTCAAAGACGACCTCCTCGCATCGTTTAGCATAGGCAAACGCACATGGTGCGAATGTCAACAAAGCCCCACCCACCATGTGTCTATTAGTGAGCACCGTAGGGGGGAATGTAAATACCGCTCACAATCGACAAATAACTCCTGAGAGAATCGAAAGGGGGTAGTTAGCTCACAGTAGCAGATATGTCAATAATACACAATTATTGTACAGCAGCGTCAATAACAAACCAATAAACCAAGACTCACTCGGTCAGGGTGGCAGGACACTGTCCACTGGAGAGAACAGAACGGCCAAAGCTTCGCGACGATTACGGGAATGTGTATCGAGCTGATAGTGCCGTGATAAACGCGTTTCTTGGCCGGCTCCAAATAGCGGCAGAGCAGATCTCTTCAATGGGGAGTGCCGATGCAAAAGCTTTTGATGCGGCTACTGCCCTGACCGAGTGAGCCTTCAACCCCTCAGGGGGAGGCTTGCCCTTAGCCTGATAAGCGGCACAAATACACGAAACTAGCCAGCGAGACAAAGTCTGCTTGCTCGCTGGCACACCAGCCTTCCCGCCACCGTAACAACAGAACAGCTGGCTACCCGTGCGGATTCCCTGCGCTTCGTTTGATATAGACTTTGAGCGTCTTACGGACATCCAACGGGTGAGTGCTCGTAGGAGAGGTCCCCGATGTGGAAGGCTGGGTAAGAGTGGGAAGTTCGATAGGAGCTGTCACATGGAAAGCGTGATCGACCTTCGGGCGGTAAGTATCCGGGAGGCGAATGCTGACACGATCAGTGTGAAACACAGTCAGCGCCGGGTCGGACGACATAGCATGTAAATCGCCGACCCTACGTCCAGATGTTACCGCCACCAGAAAAACAGCCTTCCAAGTTAACAACTGAATGGAAATAGCCGATAGGTGTGAGAAAGTTGGACCGGACAGCCAATCGAGCACGATTGACAAATCCCAAGGTGGACTGGTTCGCCTGAGAGCAGGTCGAATCCGTTCCGCCAGCCAGCGAAAGCGCTGATGAGGGTGCTGCCCCAGAAGAGCACCATCGACAGGGGTGTGAAAAGTGGAAATAGCGGTGGAGTAGCCACGAATGGTCGGCCCGCCAGGCCTTCTTCCAAACGAGCTTGCAAAACTCCAATACTGGGACTAAATCCGCAGAAAGGGATCTGCAATCCCCTATCTGAACACCAGCGCGCGATAGCGGGACCACCTATCCTCATACTGAACGTTTGTCGAATCCCGCCTCGAAGCCAGAATTGTGTCTGCAACTGCTGCAGGAATTCCGCGTGCCTCGAGGCTAGACCTGACAGAGGCCAAGCCACCCACTGAATCCGTGGATTTGGGTGGGGCGCTCCGTTCTGAGTGAGAATGTCCAGTCGTAAAGGTAATAGAACAGGAGGCTGAGCCAGAAACCTGAGAATTACCGGAAACCAGCTCTGTGACGGCCAAAGCGGTGCCAGTAGCACAAGTAGCCGAGCTGGCTGGGTGGACAGCTGTGAAAGGACACGGGGAATGAGTGGTAACGGCGGGAACGCCCAGAGCACTTTGCCCGTCCAATCCAGCAGGAAGGCGTCGAACCGGGCACGGGTACCAGACAAGAGGGGATCAACCACGTCCTGGACCAACGAAGGCAGAATGCGGAGCTGCGTCTGCGAGGGCTGCCGAGGGGCAAACGCCTCGCCTGGCAAGCGGAACTCAGCCGAGTCCGAGCTGCCAACAGGCACCGCGGCTTGGGGTAGGCCCTCGGCAATTCTTTGCCGGACCTCCCGCAGAGCCGGAGCAAAACGGAAACCACCGTCATGCTCCTCTACCTCCCCAAGCTCCATTGACTCAGCACCCGAGCCCGAGTCTGAGGCTGGGTCTCCTCTGAAAGAGGACCCTAACCCCGACCCGGTGGGCTGCCTAGCACTAGGTACCACAGAGAGGGAAGAGCAGACAGAGTGCTCCACGTCGGCGCCTGCAAGCGTGCTCGGACCCCGGTCCCGAGATGCTGGAGGCAGACCAGGCAGAACTGGTGCCTCCGCTCTCATGGGGCGGGAGTGCGCAGGGATCGGAATACCAGGAATACTCAACGGTCCCTGCGCCAACTCCGAGAGGGGGACTGGGAGCACCTCCCCCTCCGGGGCAGCCGAGGCATCCGGACCCGAAGCCAGAGGCAACGGGTCGACAGACGCCTCAAGGCTGAGGGATCGAGCCGAGCCCGGCGATCCCACCCCGACTCTCCGCCCCCCCGTCCGGAGTGAGCGAGGAACTCCTGCCGGAGACCTCCAACAGACTCACGAACGAGGGACTTCACAGAGTCCATATGCTGCTGAAACAATTGATCCATTAGTGACATGTCAAACCCAGTAGGAGCGGGAGAGGGGGATTGGCCTTGGGATTTTTTTCCCTTGCGCGACCTCTTCTGGGTCTTAGACGGGGGGACCTGGGTCAGTTCCCCACCCGCCTCTCGCATCTCCTTGTAAAAGAGAGTGTCCGCCGCCCTCCGCTTTTGGGCCCGGGGGGAAAACCCAAGACATATTGGACACACTTCAGCGTCATGGCCAGTCTTTTCTAGACAGGCTACGCATTGGTCATGCCTGTCGGCCCGTGGAATGCTCTGTCCACAGACCGAACAGGATGAAAAGGCCTGAAAGCAAACACGCAAGCATGTAGCTAACGGCGGACCAGCAGCATATATACACGTAGAAAACATTGAAAAATAAGTGAAGGCTACCACGGAAAGTAATAGTTGGTTCAATACGCAATATTACGACCACATGGCACGCTAAACTTCCCGCCATGGCAGAGCAACACGTGTGTAAACCACGGGAAAGTTCGCGTAATATAATTAATACAAAGTCACAATTATGAAACAACCAACTGTAAAGCTTTACTGTTCCTTTCATAGGCAAATAAAGACCATACATACAGGAGGTGTAGTCTCAGACATAGGTTTCTTTCTTAGAAAGTTCAGCGCTGTGCGGCTCATGGACGTCTGTTCATGGCAGTGACAGCAGAAGGAATGATGATACAGGTCTAGGAGCTTACCCAGTTGGTGCGCATGCGCAACGGGAGGTAACTCTGTGAGGTAGGGGCCGTATAATAAATAAAAGAGTTTATTTATTGTTCAATCTTTTTATTCAAAAAACATTGATACAACTGTCACAGGACATTTTTCAGCCGGAAAATGCATAATATGTACCCCAAGGACGATCTCTTTGAAGAAGAATGTGAAAAATGCATTATACTAAAACAATAGCGATATATACATATATTACTTGTTAAAATAACTGCTCAAAACAAATTATTCTGATAATGGAATAGAAATTCTTTGACGTTATGTTTCAGATTGTTTGTTAACTGAATCACCGGTAGGTTGTAGCAAAACCTGTATGCAGGGGATTGCTATTTCCAGTCTAGTTGAATAACAGGTAACATAACAGGAAAGACAATTAATGGATTTATCATGTCTAGTGATATTTGAATGCAAGTTTCCTATATTCATATACAAAGCTTGTTTGTTCACCTCTGACGATACGACACAGTTTTGACTGGGCACAATACACAAATGCAATTAAAAAGTTATGCAATGCATACGGCAAATGTGATTTTACTTGGCCTTTATTCCATGTTATGTATAACGTGGGTGTCTCAAAATGTGGGGGGATCATCCATGGACCCCAAGAACCGTGTTATGGTGAGGGATGACTGTATAAATAATCAAAAGCAAACTTTGCATTTCAGATTGCCTATAGATCTTCAAACACTCAACATTGGATGTCAACATATTTCCCATACTGACCTTCAATTGGTTTGTTGTGATGGGAGTCAACAAAGTTTCGTGGACTCTCAACTGTCCATTTAACATCTCTGATATTGTCACCAGCACCGTCTGCCCATTTGCCCTTCCCAGCAGCCTTTGCAGCTTCTTCAAGTTGAATGAGACGCTGTTGAGCTGGGCTGGAAATCAATGACACATGAATTATGGCTTAATAAATGCATGTTACAAAATACAAATGAAAAAAATTCTAACTCAGATATCAGATGTGAGAGTGCAACTTACTCATCTGCCTTTAAGCCTAATCTTCTCACATCAACGAATCCTTCTGCAATCATGGCCTCAGTCATGTTCTCCCCCGACTGATCTGAAAGTTATGAGAGACATTCAGTAGCTGACTTTGAATTTTACAAACGACATAATTACAATAAAGTGACGCACAACTCATCAAGATTGATAAACTTCTTTCTTCAAAAACTCTTTTCTCAAAACAGGGCTGCATCACAATATTGACTTGAAGTTTTCATAAACATGATAAACAAAAATATATGCACAAGGCTCTGGAGTCGGCTTGTTGTATCTTCATGGAAATCATTCATATCCTAAAATTCCAATTAACAAAGTCAATCAGATTGTGGCTCACACTCCCAATTGGCAGACCATTGACCATCTTATCATGCTTATGGTACTATTAAGCGCAGCTGTATACTAATCATGACTTGATAATACATGACCCTCACACTGAGACAATGACACTTTCACAGCCACATGACGGCTTTCAAAAGCTGCTTTATTATCTGCATACCTCTTCCTAAATAAACACATCCATATTCTCGCCCAGTTCCTGGAGCCTTGTACTCAACAGTGAACACAACCTCACGTCCAATCAGCTTCTTTCTCAGATATTCCCTTGCCTGCCATGCAAATGGCTGAAACAAAGGTAAAAACTCCTTACTCACTGAGAATCACCTTAATGTGCTTCATCTATAAGTATCCCAATTTAGACAAAATGTGCTTTTAGCATGTGAACACTCTTTAAAGGTCACATGCAACGTAAAACACAACCTTGCAGATTCTGATACCTTTCGGTATGGACTTACCGAAACAAAGCGTCAAAAATGCACATTCAACTTATAAAGTTGAAAAATAACGCGATGAAAAAAAACGCGCGAAATCGGAGTTCAAACGTTTCACTAATTTTCCCCAGACTTTTCTGGGGAATACGGGTTTCAACAGCTGGGCTGCGCTCATAGCATGTGCGCAGTGAAATAGGTTTGCTCAACTTGGAAGCGGGCTGTCTGGTGAATACTCGGTGAAGGCTTTGGTGTGAGCTATTTTCATAATGTTTTGTTGATATCTCACGGGCCGAGCTTTTATATGTTATGACAGTAAATAAACTGTTTATATAATTTCATTTGTCTATTTCACCACACGCTCTTCTTACCGAGTCACTTTCTCAGTTCGATACTTAAAAGCAATGTCATTATTTAGCGTTGACAGAATTTCTAACTGTGATATAGATATGTCGCTGTCACAGACAAAACTCAATGTCTTGTTTTATTGACACCTGTGTGTCTGCCTGCCTGTCTGCTAATGACAATATTCAATACACAACTGCGATCACTGACCACATGCAATTTGAACTTAACACCAATCAGGCTATACACCATAAACAAAACGCATTGATTTATGGCCCGAAGTTCGGTCTCTGTCACATTATGTAATTACACAGACAGGCAGGTGTGATACTTGAACACATGACATGTTATGATGTCTGTTGATTGCAAAATGTTATACACAAAAAATGAGCATGTATTTACAAAACCCAACATCTCTATATATACACACACAATGAGCCGTGAAGGCGGCATCTACTAATGAACCAGCCGTTACACTTGAGTGCACACCCACCCGCTCTGACTGGGATCGGTATCCCGGCTGCTTCGTTTCGAGGGAGGTAAACCCAAGTACAAAATATTGCACTTTTGATTTGCGATTATACGCTTATAATTTTGTTTATTTGTTCTTTCATAATCAGCAATGCATATTATATGTCATGAAGAAGTGATAATTGTGTTTTAATTATGTTTGATTTTTTGGTTGCATGTGACCTTTAAGTGTTTATTGATTGAAGTTGAAACCTTTCCCTACCTCATCTTTGGTTTCTGTGGCACCTTCAACAGTTGGGTTTGCACGTCGAGCTACCTTAGGTGCTTGTATGTTGGAGAAGCAGAGTGTCCGTTCAGGGGGTGGACCACCCTTTGGCTGGCCTCTGATAACAATGGCATCACCAGAGAGAATCTAGGAAAATGATTAGTTAACATGGTAAAAGCCAGTGAACACTAATTCAGTGAGGGAAATGAGCACAAAAATATCCATTTCCATGATGTTGAGCATGCTACATAGTAATAGCAACATTCCTGTGACATGATGGCAGCCTGTAAATGATTTAGATTAACCAGTCCCTGATGCCATGAGCTTCATCTCTATAGAGCCTCATTAGTACAGGAACTCTTGGGACCTCATCCTATGTGATATTGCACACTAAGCATCTCGAGCATTTCTTTTGTAAGAAAACTAGCGATAAAACTGAAACATAAAATACAAGTTAAGTTTCAAATCTTACATCTTGGCTTGCAGTGCATAATCATGATAATGGTAATCCTTCCATTACCAGAAGTACAGATAACTTAAGCTTCGTATCTGCGTAAATTATGCAAATATTAATGTGAAAACTTAATTCCTATAAAGTCTATTGCGTACAAGTACACTTGAAGTTTTGTAAATACAGTGGAAGCTGTCTAAACCGGCACTCATTGGGACTGAAGAAATAATCCGGTTTAGACAGCATGCCGGATTGTATGTAGAGCTGACACAGTTACCTACAACTAGAACTGGACCAGCTTTGCCGCTCTCATATACATTGTTGTATCAAGTGGTTATCTCAACTACTGCACACACTGATAATAAAACGTGTCAAATCACTAATTACATGTAAAAGTGTACCATACTGAACTAAGATTAAATTATCTTTGTCGGCAACCATGTAGCTGTTACGCAGGATTAATTAGTGACAATACACACTCAATGTCATCGGTTCCCAATTGCGCAGATCGATGCTCATGCTGCGGTTCACTGGATTGTCTGGTCCAGACTCGATTATTTACAGACAGCTGCCATATAGCTGGATTATTGCTGAGTGCGCCATAAAACTAAACTCACTCACTCGACCACCTCCTCGCCATGTGCCGAATTAGACAGCACTGATAACTGTATAAACACATATTCAGGTGGCTCATTTCATGCCGAGATCCGGAATTGACAGCTGCTGGATTGCAGAGCTTTTAAATGATGATAAATGCACTAGCCACAGACTGGATTGAGATTTTATGCCGGTGTTGACAACTTGCCGGATTGGACAGCTGCCGGTTTTGACAGCTTCCACTGTACTCAATACATTTGATCTTACATGCGTTCACACAAAAATGTCAAATCTTAGCTTGCGTACCGGTGATAAAATAACAGGTATATTTAGAGGTTCAATTTCACCACATGAACTTGGCACTTTGCAGTCTTTTTTACCGTTTCTCATATTACAGATCGAACTAGTGTTGGGAATTGGTTGAAATCTGATAAACCTTCTGGGGTCTTCAAGAAATATTCAGTCATGACTTTTCAGCTAGTGAAGTGAGTTTTCTAAGAATTAAACAAGTTTTCAGGCCCTGACAACTTCGAAGATATGTTCCATCGTCAAGTGTTCCAAACACTAAAACAACAGTTCCAAAATCGTTTGTGTTCGATTATGAGAAAATGTGATCGATTGCTTGGTCGTTTCGTCACTTCGACCAATCTTCGATTAATTCAATTAATCGGAACACCACTAGATCAAACATAAATAACAAACACTAACAGTTAAAGCTTATTATATTTTTAAAATTAATGGAAAATGGCTAAATACCCTATTGAGTTTGAGTGAGGTGGTTACAATTTATTTGGTTACTCAAAGGAATATTTGGATACCCAACTGAGATGAACACAAGCGAGTACAAAACTCAATGATCCAAAACGTTATCTGTAGCTCTGATATGCTTTTTACTAAAGGTGAGTATGGATTAGATGACGTTTTTAAGTCAAGTAGTTACTCAATGATACAGGTGGAAGTTACTATACTGCCCTTTGTGAATTTATTTTAGCATAATTCTTGTCCATCAAACTTCTCTGCTATAAACAGAAAACAGTAAACCTTCAATATGCTTATATCTTCAGATTTAAGTACAGAGGGGTACACAAATTATGTGATCTAGACCATATTTGTGGAAACCTCAGTGGGTGAGCAGATTTGATCACAGACTTTGAGAATTGACGATTAAGTGTCTCATTCTGAGAGTGTTGGTTCAGATACCTGAACAGGACTCCATAATAAAAAGTAGTAGAACTTTTATTTTATTAAGAAGTTGTATTCATAAATGTAACATATGTTACATATGACCACTTTCTTGAAGGCATGGAGAATTCAGAGCTGGTCTGTGGTCAGTCGATATTATGAAATGATAATAATATCATATTGCATGGTTCTGTATCTGCATTGACAGATTCTTTTGAATGGTTACACACGATGTCCTAAATAGTCAGAAACAGGTACATTATGAGCTGACTAAACACACCATTCACTCAATCTAAAATTTACTACTTTGGAACATGTGCCTCAAGTGGGCCATGTTCCCATATTGTGTGTGTCTAGTAGGACGCTGACGCTTAGATACACACTTTTTGTTCTAGAATTATCATCTTTCATTCAAATGGTAAATAGTTAACACATTTCAAGTACTTGAATATACCTGCTTGACGATTCCTCTGTGTAAAGCTGGCTGCTGTCCACTCATGGCTCCTGACTCGAAGTCGTGACGGCCGAAAAGGAAGTGCGTGAACTTTTGTCACGTGATTCGATGTTGTTGGTTTCGTTTAAAATGCCTTGTAATGGAGCCTTATGCCGACACTTGAATGGTTATGTGAGAACACTGTGAGTCTGACGAAAAACAGATGCACAAGAACTAAATGATCACCTGCTGTGATCTCTATTTATTGCCAAATGCGATTGTCACGTTGATGATGTGGCGTCGGCCATGTACCAGGACCGCAGTGACAAAAGTACAACTACCTCATCAATGTTACAAATATTAAAAACATCATAATATTGAATATTCATCCCTATTCATGTATCATATATTAAGAGTTATTATACAAATATTATGATACGTGAATTTAACAATCACGCAGTTAATGCAACTTCCCAAGATGGCGGCCGCTCAAAGCCAACAACAGCAGAGAGGTAAATATTTTGCAAATTATGTACACCTGTTTCTTACTTTAGATCGTAACCGAATCATTTCCATAAGACATGTAAATTTCCTGCATAGTGTATGGTTTCCACATGATTACACCTTCCACATAGCAGACACATTTGGTATTTCGTGTTGGTTGCTAATGTAAATCATGCGCGGACATGCTGAAGGGCTGTCGAGTTGCCATTGATAAACAGCAATTTCCCTCAGTGGAAACAAGTGAAAAAGTTCTATGGTGGGAGTACTGCACTTTACCGGGCGCACTTTTTCAGATTAATTAGCGGTGCTGGGGTTCCCTAACCCTAACCCTTACCCCTTACCCTTCTCCTGATGATTTGCGGATGTACGCCTTCTGCCTTCCTTCTTGTATAAGCCTTGTCTGGAGGGGTAGGAGGCTGACCTCACGATGGAGCTCTGGGATGAGCTCTTGACATTTTCGCCAAACTGCCTGAGTCCGGTGGAACAGGCATCCACTGACGTCAGGCAAAGTCTTCTTCAGGGCGTTCCAGGCAGCCTGCTCGAAGTCAAGGGTGACAGTCTCGACTTGCGGTTGTTTGGGGAGAGCCTCTAGTAGCCGCTTGAACACCTTCACATAGTCCGATGTCCTTCGTCTGGACATAATCACAAAGACGAGAGGCACACGCTTAAAGTCCCTCCCGGCACGCACAAAAGCATGAATAGTAAGTAGTTGATGGAACGGCTTTTTAATAATCTTAAAGGTACCGTCCATGAACCAATGCCTACTCGTACTTAAGTGCTGTAATTGCCGGTCAGTGGCAAAACACTAGATGCCTCTCGCCTTTGTATCCTATGTCACACTGAAAGAAATAATCCAGCAGGAAGTTTTCATCTAACTGAAAGTAGAAAACAGAACCATTACACATGTATTACACAATAGTGTTTATTTGAAATGTATTAAAATATACTTAAATAATTACTACACTGGATTTTACACAACCATATCACAAACCTCAAAGTCCAAGGACCTAGGTTCCTTCGGCCGAAGGAGCTCCCTCGTACGGTTGGCCATCCGTACTAGGGTGGCTTGGTTTTGTTGTCGACCCGGTTTGTCAGGGTTGATGTTTCTGTTGAGCTTCCTCAACGATGCTGGCACCTGACTTGTAGATGTTACCCACAGCATTTTCCTTCACCTGCAGAATATATAACAATTACACAATTACACAGGTCGATTAATACACTACTCAATTACAGGCCGATTAACACACTGCTCAATTAAAGGCCAATTAACAATCTACTAAATTATTGTGACTGTCAATTATTAAACAAACACGATAAATACCTCCACTCTCACTCGGATTGCTGTCAACTGGCCTGGTTGGGGTGGATGGCAATGGCGGTGTTTCCCCTCTTCAAATGAAGCCCCGAACTGTATAACAGATGCAGGACACGTGGTCGTCTTGTTCCTGACACTGCAGCGCCAGTACGTTCGAGCAGTTGTTGATTTCTGTAACAAAAAAATATTATTATACACCGTGATGACATTCAACTATTCATTTATATATTATGTATTTATTAGTTATACATTATTTATTATATATAATATTTATGAAGTTATATATTTAGGAAAAAGTGTCATCTGTACTTACCCGAATGACATATGTGAATCCATATGAATCCGCGAGCTCCTTCTTTTCTTTCCGAGAACCAGTCTCCACGATTGTGAACACGTTGTCCGGGATATCAGCAGTAGGGGGGGTCGAGGAGGGTGCTGTCTATCATGGATCATTCCAAAAAATGGTTGAAATCATGGTCGTCTTGTGGCAATGACGCTGTGGAAATATTGATGTCTGATATGTCGGGAGCCCTTCCTTCATCCTCAGCATCCATGTCTTCTTCTAGGGTAGGGGGTTGTTCGGCAGCTGGTAAGGTGGTGTCCGATTCCAAATTTACATGAAAGTTCACTGTGTCCATCATGTTGTCAAATGAATTCCTGCGACAGCGAACACATGCGAAAGGGAATTCTTCTTCATTTTGACAAATCTCACGGTACCGTGATACAGAAAGGCCGGTACCACAAACACGATGAGTCCATAATTCACAATCGTCACAAGATACGGCATGTTGATTCTTCCTGACAGTCTTATCGCATACAACACATTGGTGAGACATTGTGATGAATGATATGTAATGGTTACATTCTTGCGTTTTAAATAGAGTTTCATTTTGACACTGAGTTTGGGCGATTTCAGTTGAGTAAATGGACAAAACATCAAAGGTTGTGATGTTTTCACGCTAAATTGGCATGCTTGTTGGCACAGTAGATGTTTTGACTGTCGAAACATTCTACAAGCCGATTATGGGCTATTGGGATTCAATTTACAATCACTGTCGGCAGAGTAGACGCATTCATTATCTAAACATACTGGAATCCAATTATCAGCTAATACAAACTTTCCAATCACTGTCAGCAGAGTAGACGCATTCCAAAATTCTGTATTCAGATTATCTAATGACAAATAAGATTTTCCCAATAATTAAGATTTTATTTGGTGCTGTTTTCGCCATAAGATTTGTAGCCGTTTTCGCCAAGTCGAGGTTCCGTTATGTCCAAATGGTGCCATGTTCGCCAGGTGCCGTTTTGCTGTGATGACGTTTTAGCCTGAACCCAGGGTGCCTAACCCCAAGGATAGTAAAGGGTGCCTAACCCTAAACCCTAACCCTAAGGATCGTAAAGGGAGCAGCGAGGGCTGCACCCGGTAAAGTGCATTCTAGCCTCGATGGTTTTACGTTAATGGCAGTACTAACAGAAGCATTAGCACTCCTGTTCCATATTCTGCGAAATCGTAGTCCGCCCGCCGCCAGTATCCTGTTCACGAATATGATCACTAGATTAAATTGCTTTTGAGCCACACAACTGTGATTTCTGGAACCTAACAGCACATGAAACACAGTCATGGAACTTCCAAACTGGGAGAAACAACGGGAGTACCAGTGTCTAATTTACTTTTCAGATGAAGTGGGACCTGGGCCCATGGTTACTTAAACTAGTGGGACATTTGTCATTGTAGGTGGGTCACCAGAAAAGAAACAAGGGAGACAATGCATTCACTCTGAAATTTTAATGAATTTGTCATTCAAATAGCTGTTCAGTTGTATCAATTAAGTGTTAATTTAACCACTGTTGATTTGGCCATAAAAGTTATTATCTTCTAACTCTGTTTTAATTTTGAGTTAGTAAATGTAGAAAACAGTCACAGTCACTTTGCTAGTTCTGAGCACTAGGTAAGTTTGGAAAGATTTCCACCCGTAACCCCCGTTTTATTATCATTCTATGCCTAAGATTCATAGTAAGAATAGATGTTTTTTATAGAAAGCCTATCCTAACCCTAAACCTAAACCTAAACCTAACATAATGCTGAATCTAAACCCTAAACCCTAACCCCTTGAAATAATCATAATAAATAGAATACTTTTCAAAAGGGGGTTTTGGGCGGAGCTCTTACTGGTAAGGTTATGGTCGGCACTATCAACGTGTCTCTTGAGCGTGGAAGTACAGAAATTATCAGTTCCATCAGTGAAAACATTTTAATATGTTTTCCATTTTTCAGACAAAGTACACAAGTCATTTTGTTTTTACACTCATTATACAGAACCCGCAGATGCAAACCTTGCCATTTCGTTGGAACGAACGGGTCGATGTTTTGCTCTCAGTTTCAACATCGGTCGGCGTGTCATTGGCTTTTGATGGTTCCGTTTCAATTACTGAATTAGAACGGTCATCACTTGACTTCGCAACAGTTTTGGCATTTTCTCTATCGGTTTTTGTTCTGTTTGTTTTGAAAAAAGAATGTATTCGCAGACGATTTTTCACCCGACATTTTGTTTCGATAACTGCACACTGTCTTTCCAGCTTCAGTTACTGCCCTTTGATATAGACCTGGGAAATACACTGGTAAGGGGCGTAACTCTTAATGTATAATGAAACAGCATTACTTGAATAAGCTAGGTATTATAAGCTCCATGCATTGATTTAGGCACCGCATTAGACTTGGGAAAGTGTGTACCGCACTGTGGGGATTACGAATTGATCGCTCGAAATTGTGAAAATAAGTTGTAAATATTAAAGAGTTTGGAGAGGTATGTTTTTACATGGTTGATATGAGTCAAATTATTTTATAGTGTGCCAATCAGACCCACCAGGTTAAGGAATAAGGCGTCATTTTTAACTATCATGCGCCAATAGTGCAAGGGCGCAGTCTAAATTACACTTTGGAGTACTGCACTTTACCGGGTGCACTTTTTCAGATTACTTAGCTAATGGGGCTCGAACGCGCTTCGCCGTATAACTGGCTTCATTAATTAGCGACGTAATTGGCGGACGCTCTACCTCGGGACTACGAGCACCATCACAGTTAATGAGTACTCGTTTAATGGGTCATTTGCACAGAAGTGAGGCAATGGTTTGTTTACATTTCTCGCGCTTACGCCTCACTGTGCCACGCCCTTCCCAATCATTTTTTTTCCGCGCCATTATTTCTTGGACTGTACTGACGAATACCGTATGGATCGAAATGTGTTTCAATTGGATATGATAGGATTATACTGCCCTAAGGTAAAGTCAAACCCTAAATAAGAATTGGAAAGGGTCCCTAACCCTACCCCTCTCCCAACCCTAACCCTAAGGATCGGAAAGGATGCCATACCCTAACCCTAAGGATCGGAAAGGGTGCTAACCCTAAACCCTACGGATCGTAAAGGTTCCCTAACCCTAACCCTAAGGATCGGAAAGGATGCTAACCCCTAACCCTACGGATCGTAAAGGTTCCCTAACCCTAACCCTAAGGATCGGAAAGGATGCTAACCCTAAACCCTAAGGATCGGAAAGGTTCCCTAATCCTAACCCCTAACCCCTAACCCTAAGGATCGTAAAGGGTGCCTAACCCTAAGGATTGTAAAGGGTGCCTAACCCTAAACCCTAAGGATCGTAAAGGGAAGTGAAGGGAGACGGAGCGATAAAGCGAGACAT